CAACCATGAAGCCATGAGTGGTTCGTCTGCAACCAACAGTCACATGACAAAAATTCAAGGACTTTTTAGCTGAACTGGGTTGAACTGCAGGCTGTGTTTATACAGAGCAGAGAACTAGTGACTGTCTATAGCATGTAGAGGCAAAAAGAAATATATTCTAGCATCGATAAGACTTGTGGACACATTGAATTGAAACACGTTGATTCAAGGAATTTTTATTTTTTGTAAAACATCATGAAATAAATTGAAGCTTCTTTTTTTATGCTTCGTGGCATCAGTGTCGTATGTTCTCATGTGTCTGGAGGAGACCGTCTCCCCTGCACATGTTTCTCTCTCAAGTCAAGTCATACGATTTCTGTTTGACCCAATTCCCAAAACCTGAGCGCAGGAATATGGATGGAGATACTTTCTCGCCTCCATCCGTCCGTTCTTCTCGTCGGCATCCTGTTGCTCGTTTGTTGTCTCTGCTTCCATCCCGATGTCGCCGCTTAGCTCCGATCTCCTGCTTTTGATGGCGGTTACATCACTCCGCATCGACGTGTATGTGCGAGAGGAGTAAAGCGGCGGCGCTGAAGGACTACGCTGCCGCTGAACTGGGTCGTGGGTAACACGTTGCTATGGCAACTGCCATTTGCCGGCCCTGGGGCCAAGAACTGCTTTTCACTTACTCTTTTCTTTTCTTCTCTCTCCCTCGCTCGGCTTCTTTCTTCACCTTCGCCTCTCTTTCTTACTCTTCCCTCTGTTCCTCTGCTGGCTTTCCGCTCAGCTTCCTCTTCATTCACCTTTTCTCTCAGACTCCTCACCTGATCTGCTCATTTTCTTGCTTTTCTTTTCTTTTACCGTTCTTTCAGCTGACTGCCACGAATTGAGATTTAAACATCTCCTCGTTTTGTCCTGCAGCAGCTCCTTTGAACGAGCCTTAGCAGCAGGAGATGTTAATCCCTAATTGCAGCTCTTGTCTGTCAAATGATTTGTTGTTCCGTCGCTTGACAAAATTAACACAAAAATCCCAAATCTTTTGTTCTTTCGCGCTGGCTAGCCGCCTTCGCAGACACCCTCCCCGCAAACCGATGCATCGTCCTCGGCCCGAGACCGCTGAGATGATGTATGATGCAGCATCGTAACATATTGTCTCGGCGATTAACTCCAGCTGGCTCACTGTAAGTACAGCGTGGGCATGAGCTCGTATTTCAAAGCAGGAGCAGAGAGGAAGGACCGGCGGGGTCGAGGCCGAGGCGGAGGTGGCGGTGATGCAGCGAGGTATGAAGCGGGAGCGACGGGCCGGCCTCGGTGCGTCCCCTAAATTCTGCTCTAATGAATAGCCCCATTGATTTCCATTAGGGCCGGCTGCAGCTGACCACTCCGGCCTGTCTGTTTCCCATTAGCGCACTTTAAAACTGACTAACAGTCGTAGCCACGGGCGGACCGGATAGCGGGGCCTGTTCGGCGTTTAAAGGAAACCTGTGAATTCATCCGTGAAGCCGCGGGAAGCCACAGAGAAGACAGCAGCTGTAAAAAGAGCTTTAACTCGCAGTCGTGGAAGTTGTTTTAAATCAAAGTGTCCAAAAAGAGATGAAGATATTACCCGAAATTCTTTATTTGCATTTAAAAAAGCCGGATTATCCCATCAGCCAGACGGGTTTTATTCCCGTCTCGGAGTAAAATAAGACCGGGAGACAGTAAATTACCTGTAGAGGCCGACCTTCTCTGGCAGGATGGAGTGTCAGCGCAGCTTTTAAACAGCCATTGTATCGACCGGCGAGTCCATCGCAGGCCCCGGGAGGCCTGGCCTGCTTCTGGGCTCAGGATTTTTGAGCCATCCTGCCTTATCGGCTGCGCTCCTCCATCAGCCCCGCTTCCTTCATTAACATTAATAGGATTTGGATCTATTACGCAACCAGCCTGGGCTGCGTTACGCAACGCGCGGTCTTCATCAACAGACTTCGGAGGGGAGCGTCTTAGATTTATGGTTTTGTTGTTTTTTGGGAAATTCTCTCAGATGTGGAACTTTTAGAAGAGACGCAGTGACCGGAGTGAACGCTTTTAATTAAAACAAACTTGGAAAAGATTCACAGAAAACTTTTTTTTTTAATGTCTTGATAATTAGACAGCATGTAGATAAGATATTTTCTAAGCTTACGTAAATGATCTGTTAGCTCAGAGCAGTTTGTGGGAGTTTTTACCTCCTCATGTGGCATTTTTACTCACTGTGGGATCTTTTTTTTTCAATAAAGTTGTGCACTTTTATGGAAACAGAACAACCATGACTAGAAGTAGAGAGAACCTGAATGTCCTCTCAGCAGTTTGATGCAGTTATGATGCCAAAAGGAATAAAAAAATAAAGAAAAAACAAAAGTTCAGTTACTTATTTTACAAAAGAAATGAGGGAAAAAAGCCTGGAATCAACATGCCGTACATTTTTCTCCGTGTCCACAGGATACTTCTACATACTTGAGATATTTTATTACTTAGATTTTTATTAGTTTTCATGCTTGTCTCCGATCTACAGAGAAGTCTCTACATTTTCTCGCATGTAGTCGCTCATCATTTCCAGTTTTTTACAGAATCTGGTTCCTACAAGAGTTTTTAAATGACGTGTGTAGAATAAAGTACCTTTGACGACATCTCCCTATTTTGAGCTCATATGTGGTTCGTTTTTGAGTCGTTATAGGACCGTCAGAAAGTTGAAAATCACACGATTCTCTCTGTTTCTGGCTGTGATGAGGGTTAAAGGTTAAATCTCAAATCTGGCGACTGTTTGTGCAAATTAAGCTCGAAACTGTGCAACAGCAGGTGAACCAAATTCTCACAATACTGCACTTTTTTGCATAGAGTTTCGTTTCCTATGTCTCGTTTCCTGCAGACGACCTTCCACTGATGCACATAGCCTTTGGTCTGTTATTACCTGAGACTGTAATGCTTGATATTTTGTTATCTGGACCCCAGGAAGACTTGGCTGATGGGGATTCTTTTAAATAAACACATCAACAAACAAAAAATCTACAGCCAGGAGAGCTTCCCCATGAGGCTGTACGTATAGTTTTAGCTCAATGTGCTAGAAGACAAGAGCCGTTTGATGTGTAGCAGGTATAAATGTTAAAGGTTTGGTGTGTTAACATTTTGCTTATGAGCACATCTGAGGCTGATGGAAGTAGTTTGGCAGGTATTTGGTCATAAATCCAAACACTGGAGGAATTAAAATCTGCTTTGTTAGAGAAACACTCAGTGGATCATCAAAGTGGTTTTGTTGGGGAACTCGGAAAGTTTGTGTGAAATGTGGTGCCGATATAAAAAGTCAGTGGATCATTTATGTCGTCCTGTTTTCAATCTGGAACAAAGTCCCAATAAATCAGCTCTAAAGCACCAGATCTTATTAATGTGAAGTATTCAGGTCGTGGAAGCCGATCCCGCCGCTTTTCAGGAACTCAAACTGTTAATTAATTTCAGTCGGAAAGCTTTTAAATATTCAGGATCTGCTGAAGTGACATCCCAGTGATCACCAGTGGAGCCCAGAACTGGAACTAAAACATGAAAATCAGCACATTTAGGCAGCAGTGGCGTTATTGATGAGTCCTTCTTCCCCTCAGGGAGATCCATTTATTCTTTTAAACTCATCAATAACAGCTTTCCACTGGCCACCACCTGGCCTGAGCGCTGCAGTGGGAGAAACAAACAGTTTTATTGTGTTTTGATGAAGATTTGAGCATTTCCTCGTTGCATCCTCCTCCCTGTTTGGTTTAATTGCTTTACGCGGCAGCACATCACCTGTCAGGCTTCGTTGACGTCGATAGAAGCTGTCGGAGGGTCTTTGCTTCTGCTTGTGTGCGTGTTGGAGTGAATCTGCGTCCTCACACCATCCACTGTCATCCAGAGTATTTATCAGAACGCGTCGCTCCGGTAGCCGAGGCTGTCAAAACAGATCACCTCCACGTCTTGCCGCGATCTGTGATGTGATCGATTTCACAAACAGTCGCGTTTGGATTTAACAAACTAATGAACGCGAAGTAACGACGCTTCCCCCGAGCTGCCAATTGGAGCAGGTTGTCATGGAAACAGCAAAGTGGCACACACAAGACAGTTCATTTTGTCTTTTTTTTTTTTCTCTCTCTTCCCGGAGTAACTTCCTGCTTTGCTGGAGGAGTTATTTTTAACGGGCGTTATATAAGATTCAACTCTTGTGCTCAATACAATGTGTTGTTTTTTTTTCATTCCTCTTCATCCTCTCCGCTGTGGAGCAGCAGGCAGGACCTGTGCATCCCATAACTCAGGCGGGAAAGCTTCGGCGCTAATGGGAAACAAATTTACTAATTTATCATCGCCACCGCGTAGAAACCCAACGAGCGCGAGGGATGATTTTTAATTATTCATCAGCATTTTGGGGGGATTTGAAAAATGAGAGATGGAGAAAGATTTAATCTTTTGTCGTCTCCTCACCAACATCAGGCTTATTCCTGCTTCCACCTGATATCTTCAGTGTTGACTGTTAACGAGCGTGTTGATTTATTTAAATGAATGTCTAAAGAAAGAGACGAGCAGGAGCTGGGTTTTTTTTTCCTAGCGTGTAGGATGAGAGCATGTAGCACGGCTTACATGTAATATTCAGCACTCCCAGCTGAGCTCAAAGTGAACACGCTCTCACTGTGAACGATGCTATGATTAGCTGCTCGACATGCCTGACAGGGAGAGGTGTTCCTCTCTGGATTCAGCCCCAACAGTACAAAACATCCACACAGGTTTCTGCACGGGTAGAAAAAAGAAAAATCAAACAGCAGTGGACAAAAAGGCCGCCGAGTGTTGCAGCGAGTGTCATCAGCAGCGAGTCACTTCTATAAGATGTGACACTGCAGCAGTCTGCTTTGTGCAACCGGGGCCCTTTTTGCCATTTGTGTGCATCGGAATCTGACCTAAATTGTTTGTCCGTGCATCCTCCTCTCAGCTTTCTTTGCTTTGAGCTTTCTTGTGTAAGTGGACTCATCCCACCTCTTTGTCTCCCCCTGCAGGATGCTTCGAGTGCTGCATCAAGTGTCTGGGCGGGGTGCCCTACGCCTCGCTGGTGGCCACCATCCTCTGCTTCTCAGGCGTGGCTTTGTTCTGCGGATGTGGCCACGTGGCGCTGACCGGGACCCTGACCATGCTGGAGAACCACTTCTCCAGGGTCACCAGCGACCACGCCACCCTGGCCTTGGTGTAAGTCCTCAGTGTGCCGGCACGCTCCGTCGATCAGGTTTTCGGAAAAAAGCACCACGATGCTGTAGTATCATCGTGTGCAGACGTTTGGAAAATATGAATCATTGTGGAGTCGTGGCGCCATGTTACATTTACTGCTGTGCTTTCTATTAAAACACTAGCGTCTCCAGAATATAGTGGTACGAGCCCTGCAGTTATTAAATCTGTAGAGGAGAGCCTCCCACATGATCTGCCGTGATTCAGAGCACCAGAAAACTAGTAAATGTCTCTTGGCTAAGATAGTGCACATGTACAGAAAGAGTGTAGGTAAGAGTAAAAGGTAAAAGAACAAGGCTTTTAAAATGTTTTTTTCTCTCAAAGATAAGATACGATTTTCGAGATGGATCCTGTCACACGGTTAAAGCTACTGTTCACTTGAAAAAAAATCAACCAAATATAATTTTTAAAGCTATTTAATCATAAATTGTCACATGATTTCTGTTAAAAAGCAGCCATGATGGCCACAAATGGCTATTATGGGAGTAAAAACTGAAACATTGCACTTTAATATATATTATATTAACATGTACTGTACATGGAGTAATGGAGTCTGTGTCCTCGGGCTACTAATTATGTCTGTGAAAATTTTTAATAATAATAGCTATATAACACTGTTTATATTTTGTTTTCAAAATATGTAAGTGATTAATAAAGAAAAAGGTAAAAATTGAAAATAACTAAAGCCACCATAAGCTACTGGCCATTTTGGTCTAAACTTAGCTAGCATTAGCCACCGTAAGCTACTTTTCATATTCCTCTGAAGTTAGCCAACATTAGCCACTATAAGCGACTTGTCATGTTCCTCTGAAGCCAGCTAACATTAGCCACTATAAGTGACTTGTCATACTCCTCTGAAGTTAGCCAACGTTAGCCACTATAAGCAACTTGTCATAGTCCTCTGAAGTTAGATAACATTAGCCACTATAAGCAACTTGTCATGTTCCTCTGAAGTTAGCTAACATTACCCACTACAAGCTACTTGTCATGTTGCTCTGAAGTTGGCTAACATTAGCCACAATATGCTGCTGTTCATATCGATATATAGCTAATGATACATTAGCTATTGTGTCTAAACTTAGTTAATATTAAGCACCATGTGACACTGGTCATATCTGTCTGTAGTTAGCTAATATTAGCCACCTGAAGGCAGCTTACCTTTGCCCTCAATAGCTACTGCTAATATGTGTATAAAGTAAGCTAACATTAGCCACCTTGAGCAACTGGTCATGTTCCTCTAAAGTTAGCTAATATTAGCTGCTATAAGTGACTGGTAGTATTGCCTAAACTTAGCTAAGATTAGCCTCCATAAGGTATTAGTAATATTTGTCTAAAGTTAGCTAACATTAGCAACCATGATCTAAGCGTGATATTCCTCGTAAGTTAGCTATCATTAGCCCCCATAAGGTACTTGTCATATTTGTTTGAAGACATTTAAAATTAGCCACTGAAAGCTAACATTTGCTTAAATTTAGCTAACACTAGCTATCACAGGTTACTGGTTTTAACAAAATGTAAAGAAAAATGTAAATAAAGCCAGCATAAGCTAATGTTCACAAATATCTAGAGTTAGCTAACATTAGCTTCTGTCTGTTTTTGCAGGTGCAGTGTTGTGCAGCTTCAAAATCATTTTAATCCTGGTGACACATGTTCCTTTTGTTTTCTGTATGTTTAGGATCCAGATCTTTCAGTACATCATCTATGGCATTGCTTCCTTCTTCTTTGTCTACGCCATCATCCTGCTCGCCGAGGGCTTCTACACCACCAGCGCCATCAAGAAGGAGCTGCAGAGCGACTTCAAGACCACCGTCTGTGGACGCTGCATCACCGCCTTCGTACGTCAGCACACACGAGCAGCTGCTGCAAATCTTCCCTCCCACTGACCCAGTTCCACTTCAAATTAAAGCCTCTCAATGAGATTTAATTACTTTAATGTGCCTGTTATAACGGTCTTTCTCAAAATAGTGTTTAGTGAAAGACAAACTAGTCATTCGTTACGCCTGGACGAGGGTCATCTTGACAATCACACACCTCTACACGTTTATGGACACATGCATGTTTGAAAGACACATGTACACAAATCCACACACACACACACACAAACACTCCTACTTGAGTCCTCGGGGTAACTCTGACACAGTTTGTCCTTTCTAGCCCGATTACGCTAATGACTGCAGATGTCCGCTAACCTTAGCGTAAACACGGACACTGATATGTGTGTCGAGGTCTTTAAGGAATATTATTAACCTATTTTTTTTAGAACAATGGCAAACTCTCAGTCTCTCTTTGCTTTTCACGCCCCCTCTTCTCTCCAGTTCATGTTCCTGACCTACATCCTCTTTCTGGCCTTCCTCGCCATCTTCGGCTTCACGGCGATCCCCGTGTTCCTGTTCTTTAACATGTGGACCACCTGTGCTGCCATGAGGTCTCCTGATGCTAACATCACCTCTCCTGACTCCATCTGTGTGGATGTCAGGCAGTACGGTCAGTAGCTCCACTTTAATTTATGTTGCATTAGTGTGTGATGATGGCTGCAGTCAGTCAGTGTTGTAATTTACTTTTGCTTGTGCAACATTGAAACATTTTTAGGAGAATTAGCAACATTGGCTATTTTTAGCTATTATAAGCTACTATTCATATTCAGCACAAGTTTAATAACATTAGATATCATAAGCTTTGGCTAAACTTAGCTAAAATTCTACAATTTCATTTAGCAGACGCTTTTATCCAAAGCGACGTACATCTGAGAGCGGATACAAAATGGCTAACTTTAGCCATTATTAGCTGCTGCTCATATTTATCTAAACTTAGCTAACATTAGCACACATAAGCTACCGATTGTGTTTGACTAAAGTTAGCTGACATTAGCCACCACGAGCTTTTGCTTATATTCCTCTAAACTTAGCAATCATTAGCAACCATAAGCTACTGGTTATGTTCCTCTAACATTAGCTTCATTAGCCAACAAAAGCTACTGGTTGTATTTGTCTAAACTTTGCTAATATAAGCCCAAATGAGCTTCCGGTTATATTCTTCTAAAGTTAGCTAATATTAGCCACCATAAGCCACTGGTTGTATTCTTCAAAAGTTAGCCAAAATTCGCCGCCATAAGCTACTTGTCATATTTGTCCAACATTAGCTAACTTTAGCCACCATGAGCTACTGGATGTAGTCCTCTAAAGTTAGCTTTATTAGCCATCATAAGCCATTGTTCATGTCTTTTGTAATGTTAGCTAACATTAGCCACCAGATGCTACTCGTCATATTCATTCAAACTTAGCTATCATTAGCCAGCATGAGTTACTGATCATATGTCAGCTAACATTAGCCATAACAAGCTACCTCTTATGTTTCTCTAAAGTTAGCTAACAATAGCCAGCATAAGCTAGCAGTCATGTACTTCTAAGGTTAGCAAACATTTCCCATTAGAAGCTACTAGTTGTATTCCTCTAAAGTTGGCTAACATTGTCCACCATAAGCTCTAGGTAATATTTGCCTAAACGTTGCTAACATTAGCCATCAGAAGCTACTGATCATATTGCTCTTTTTGAACATTAGCTATGAGTTGCCTAAGTTAGCTAACAATGGCCACCTCCCAGCTAACAACAGGTAGTTAAAAAAAAAAAAAAAAAAAGGTTTATAAAGTAAAACCCAACATCTGCCATCATAAACTAGGAGCATCTTTGTGGAAAGTTTCTATGTGAATTTAGTTGCTTTGCTTCTAAAACCCTTGTTTTCCCTTCATGTGATTGTTGTGAAACAGTTTGAGTGTGAGGGACAAACAGGGAAGTTGGGTCTTTTCCAGCAGTTTGGCAATAAAATCATCCCAAACACAACAAAGCATCGAGAAAACTAAATAAACAAGAGCTGCTTTTAAAACAAGCTGGATTCTTCCCTCAGACCCGTAAATGCTTTATCTAAATAACCCACTGCAGTGAGGACCAGCAGCCTCCTCACACTGATCCTCAGCTCATCCTCGAGTCGTCGGGCCGGCCGGTCCTTTATACTCCTGCTCTTGTTCTGCGCACCTGCTCTGATTCAGGCTGACAGGTTTTCATTACACTTGAACTGGATCAGGTGTGCAGGAGCAGGACTTGCAGGACAGGTGGGCCGTGATAATTAGGTCATTAAAACACAGTTTGGCAATAAAAAAAATGAAGGAATAATTCTACTTTTGGTGGCTCAACATCCTTCAAACTTGTCTCACATTTAGACACACACACAGCTCAGGTGGCAGCTTCACGCCTGGAGGGACGTTTGTGTTGATTCAGGATTTGCTGCATGTGGGCTGGACGAGGCTAACATGCCTCCATGTGATGTGGAGGTAGTGATTTACCCTCATCAGGTCAATTAAGTGAGAATCTGTGCACCGACTGAGGGAAACGGGAGGAAAATGTACACATGTGGGAACAAAATTTACAAAATATTATCAGTATTAATACAAACAGACCCTTCAGAAAATAAAATACATATAAATCGTTGCGAAATCCATTTAAAAAACATTCGCAAATACTATATTTACATCTAGAATTTGATGTAAACGTGACATTACTGCACAAACTAGACCAAAAAACAATGATCTGTTTTAGAAACCACCTTCAAAATCCGTCCTTCTACAGAAACAAGCTAACAAACAGCTTCCCGCTACACGTCCCCGCTGGATTCTGACTCGAGCATCAAACCTCGTGCTACGTTTCTTTAAACTTTAAAAGAAGCTCCCCTGATCAAACGGCTAGCCTCGCCGATGAAAGCTTTTAACCGCACATGAAAGAGCTCCGTTCCCGCAGACCGGGCTTCACCTGCAGGACCCGCTAAATATAGCACGTTTTTCATAATTCAGGAGGCTGCACATGTTCATCTGCTTTAAATGTCGCTTTATGTACAGCAGGAGGTCAGAACGTACATTTAGATTATCGAGAGCCTGATTGGAAGAATAAAAAATCCAGCATTACAGCGCAGCGACACTCTGCTCTGATTGCATATCTGCTGATCTGTTTGATGGCCTAATGCACGATATGTGACCCACATTTGAAAGACAGCTGGCCCGCTTACAAAGCAGGATGAGGATCACATATGCTTGGTTGGCCGCGGTGCTGTACTCGCGCGCCGTATGAAATATTAACCCCAATTACTGGCAGTCCACAAATTATCGTCAGCAGTTGACGAGCGATCGAGGAAACGTTTTGTTTCCAACTCGATGGAAAAGTGTTTAAAAAAAAACCCCAGCTGGATTTAGAATAAGCCTGTTCTAGCAAGTCTGCAGTGAAAAGGCGTTCAGAATAATGACCCATATTCTTCCAGCAGCAGCCGTGTTTCCTTTAATCTTTATCTGAGCCTAATTCATGATGCCTTCAATCACACGGGCTCTGGGGAGAAAAAAGCTTCTTGTCTCAGACGATGTGACGTTTCGTCTCTCTGATCCTGCAGGTATCATTCCCTACAACGCCACACCGGGTAAAGCCTGTGGAGCCACACTGGGAGAAATCTGTAACACCAGCGAGGTGAGAAGACCTTTTTATTTTCTTTTTATTTGATCATCCTTCTCCGTGGTTTCCATCCCTCACCGAACCTCTCCTCTCCTTCGCAGTTCTACCTTTCCTACCACCTCTACATCGTTGCGCTAGCCGGCGCCGGAGCCACCGTCATCGCATTGGTAAGCTCCTCGTGATCCCGCCGATAATGTGCTGCTCAAAATATGCACGTTGCCATGGCGTGCTTAGCCGTTGCCGCGGCAACCCCGCCTCTCATGTATGTCGTTGTACGGGTTGAAATGCTGCCCTGCAGCCTGCCTCTCAGTGAGCCAGTGTGTGCGCTCACACAGGGGTCAGTGTTTTACTCCGCTGCGGAGGCGAACTTTCTCTCTTTTTTTTCGGTTCTGTTGCGAGTCCAGGGAAACGGAGATGCTGAAAAAAGCAACAAGCTCTTCTCCAGATGTTGCGCCGGGTCACCTGGAAGCCGTTTGGTGTTTTACAGCCTCAGAAAATTCAGAAGCAGGAAGAGATGGAAGAGCTGGAAAAGCTCCTCGACACACACATGATCATTTTACTGCATCTTTGTGAAGATTTAGCGCCACAAAATGTGGATTTAAAGCTTTTATTTTGAAGGATCAGAGCATGCTTTCTGTAGTTTCTTTCTCGTGGGAAATATAAAAACTGTTTTTCTACATTTGGCGAACACTAATTTATCCCCAAACATGTTAGAATTGTTAGAATAGTGTCCGATTAGAGGGAAATTTGCTCTTACATACGTGCAATGCAAGTTTAATTCAAAAACGTGAACCCTTTCAGCTCTCTTAGAACCAACACTTGTTTCCTTGTTCATTCTCAGAGGCACCAATTGAAAAAAATGTGGCTCAGAACTTAGAATTTGCCGATTCTGGGGCAAGAAAGTGTGTTTTTGAGACCACAGTAACCTGCTTTCACTGAATTTCTCCTGTAAAATGTCCTTATAACCGGTTTTCTGCTGGGATCTGAGGAGTTTTTTGGTCTTTTAGATTGAATAAAACACACAATTTAAACATAATTCAACGCATCATTAGCTAAATAACTTGCACAACAGCTAGATTTCTTCTTCTGTCAAACTAAAGTCAGATTATCAGCTGGATCCTGTGTTGAACTCGAGCCATGATTTCACTCCAAACTAAGCGACTACCAGGTGCTTCCACTGACAGGCTCACCTGAGATCCATGTCTTTAATGAGCCTCCTCACTCGCCTCAGTCCCACACTGCTGTTATGTAATTCTACTCAGGCTCGCAGGTCATGTTTTTAAAAAATCAATGCTTTGTTTCTGATGTGTTTCCGGAGCTCTGGAGTCTTTTCTGATGTTTCCCAGGTGTGAGCAGCTCTCCCATTATCTTTGTGCTTCGCATTATATGAGATGAACTCTGAACTGCTGTTGCTCACTTTTTACTTTTCACTGCAGGATAAAGTCCTGCACGTGTATTGAAGCAGCACAACCATGAGAACAAGTAGAGGAACTCACATTTCTTTTGTGCAGCATAAATCATAGAAAAAACAAAAGTGAAATTTCTTTGATTATTAAATTGACAAACATTGAACAAACCTGCCTTCACCCTCAGTCAGCTGGAATGGACTCCAGCCCCCTAAGACCCTAGTGAGGATTAAGCGGTGTAGAGATGATGGATGGATGGAAAAACCTAGAATCAGCATCTACAACATTTCTCCAAGTGCCCAGATGTGTTATTAATCCTGGAAACTAGACATAATTCACTGCTTACGTGTTTTCTATCTGCTCGGTGTAAACACAGCCAGCAGTTCATCCTATAAATGTCTGAATTAAGTCATTTTAAATGAGATTTAAATGACATATCACAAATTTAAGCTTCGGTCTGGTGTTGTTTTTAGGCAGAACGATATGCTGTAGTTTGGTAGTTTAAGAATCGTCAGAAATGGGAAAATCTGGCTCTAATTCTGA